TTTCTTTTTTGGGGGAGTGGGGGGAAGGAGGAGGTAGGCACCATGGGGAAGAGACAGGTTCTCCCTCTGTGGCCACAGGCTAGCCTGAAACTTGAGAGATAGGTCTCCCTCAGCTGCCCAAGCTGGATTCAGAGTCAACAGCTCATCTTGATTTACATATAACAACTCTGAAAAGTGTCTCACTGGGCCCATCTTCATCTCAGGGTAGGATCTAGGACACTACTCTAACAGAACCAACTTTTCCCTTCTCATAGGCAAATATCAGCTTCTAACTACAAACACTGGCTCCCCATCTAGTCCCCAGGCTAACACAGGGCTTTGCTGGGGGAGCAAGGGGATAGGTTATTTTTTAAGACAAGTAATAAAACAAGTTGAAAAGTATATTTATGGTTCCATGACAGACTGTTTTTTAAACAGATGACAACCTATAGCTTTGAATGAAGAGCTAGAAAGACCTACAGCTACTGGAAGTCATGGTTTCCTTTTCCAAGGAAAAGGCTCGACACAGAAAATATATCCAGAACTTAAGGGACTGGGTACAATTTCCAATACAAAGCTAAAAGAAACAGAATTCTCAGAATATTCTTTTACAGTTTAATCTACAATGTAGAATAATTGCTAATAAGTTATTGGGCCAGTGCAGCTTATCCTTCATTCTTTAGTTTTCTGCACCATGAATAATAGTTTAAATCATCTAAGAGGTAGGCAGTACTCTGCTACTGAGCACAAAGTTAAGAATGCTGTGTAGTTACTATGTACAATGACATAATCAGAAAGTACATCTATATGATTCAAAATGGTTACAGAGAGTATTCCTGAAGGTTGTTTGAGCAGGGTCTTACTCATACTGTAGTGCAGGCTGCCTAGACCTTGGCATGTAGCCTTGGTAGTCTTGAACTCAACAGTAATCATGTCCCACCCTCCCCACTGCCAGCGTCACAGGCATGAACAGTCACACCCGAGCCTTACAGGTTCATAACCTCTCACAGGTTCATAACAAGTGTTCTACTCAAAGATATTTAAACAATTTTCTCTTTGTTACTCCTCAAAATTGTTATGCTAGTCAAAAGATGGCTGTTGTTGAATTCCTACAGAAAGTGTTTGACCACTTAAAAGTTAGTTTTGCTAATTTTGAGTTAAATATGGTAAGAGGACAGAAACAAGTTCCTTCTATTTTACTTTTGTTGGCCACTTTTCAGCTGATCTTCCCTAGCTTATGGCTTGACCATCTAATAAGCAGTCCTAGCAGGTTGAGCTTCTTCATCACTGGACCATCTAACAAGCAGTCCTAGCAGGTAACTTGGCTCTTCAAGCTGAGTGCAATCATTGCCTCGGCCACCTGAGAGACTGAAGCAGAAAGATCAATTGAGCCCAGGAGTTGGAGACCAGCCTGAGCAATCTCACCTCAAGAATGAATGAATGAATGAATGAATGAATGAATGAATAAAAAGAAAATTGCTTTACCCTTTCCATAAACACTTTTCTACAAAAAAAAAAAAAATAAGAAAAAGAAAGAAACCAAAACCAACAAGAACCCAAAGAACTATATTTTTAAAGTTTCATAGATAACTACAATGGTAGCATTCGACAGTCAATACAATATTTGTTTCATAAAGATCCTTAAAAAGTGGAATCTAATTTTAAGATTTCTTACCTACTCCAATCTTAAGCAATACTCTAATAATGTAGTAAATACTCTAAATGTGAGACAGGGACTGCTCATGACCCCATACATAGCTAAGGATGACCTTGAACTTCTGACCCTGTAGTCCAGGCCCCTAAGGTGCTGGGGTAATAGGCAAAACCACCATGGCCAGTTTATAGGGTGGTAGGATAAAACCCAGAGCTTAATTCAAGCTTTCTACCAACACTCCAGCCCCCAAGTGTTTATTAAAATTAAGATACACCAACCTAACAAGGGGATAGGTTATATATACTTCAGCAACTGATCACTGTGCTCAGTGGTGAGGGATTCAAATGTATAATTCAATATAATTCTTTAAAAATTTATTATTTGAGTAAATCCCTTAAAATATACTAAAGTTGGAATGATACAGAGATTAGCATGGCCCCTGAGCAAGGATGATGTGCAAATTCATGAATCATTCCATATTTTTAAAAAATTTTTACAAGGCAGACCTACTGCAGACATACATCTAGGCAAAACACCAATGCATATAAAATAAAAATAAATCATTAAAAAAATTTAATCCTAAAGTAATAAAAGATGGCTTTAGAGGTGCTTTTTCTTGGCCAAGGGATACAAACCTAAGTAGTAAGGTAGATCAACCATTTACCTATTCAATAACTTGTTTCTGTCCACACAGCAATTGAATCTTATTTGGAATTATTTGTCTTTATCAACTGTCATGGCTGACTCCACCATGGCCTGAATACCACATAGTGCTATTTCTGTTTTTACTGTTGTTTACTTGCTTTGAGGTAGGGTCTTACTTTATAACCCTGGTTGTCTCTGAACTCATTCTGTTGCCCAGGCTAGCATTAACTCCCACTTGTGATCCTCCTGCCTTAGCCCCCCGCATGCTGGGATTATAGGCACCACCTTACCCAGAACCTTACATCCTGTACTTCAAGGAGACTTTCTTGGCGGGGGATGTAGCACAATGGGAGAGTACTTGTTTACCATGAACAAGCCCCTGAGCTAGTGCTCAGCACCTCAGGGCGTGTGAAAGGGGCTATCTCAGATTTTCTCTATGCACGTACCAACCTGGAATAAAAAGGCACTTGTCTCAAATGAGTCCTGTTCTTTTACAACTTAAGAAAAACAAAACTCACACTCAGTCAATCTTATTTCCAATGTTCTTCACTATATACCAAAGAGTTTTAATTTTCAATTACATATTTAATGTTTACACCAGACCATTTGATTTAATATAGAAGCAACATGGTTGCATTCAATAGAAAAAATTAGAGTTAAACTAACAAGAGATTCCATACCAGAAATGAAATGAAATATTGCTTAATTCGCTTTCTCTCTTTCCTCTCTCTCCTCCCTCTCTCTCTCTCTCTCTCTCTCTCTCTCTCTCTCTCTCTCTCTTTTTCTGGAAAACTGAGAGCTGGAGGAGGAATCATCCCTACTCTTTCCCATACTTTCTCTTCACCTGGCTCAACTCACCAAGAACCACCAAGACATTTGCCAGCTAAGATGACAGATGGTGGTAAAACTGCCTACTCCAAGTGGGAGCAGGAATACATAGATATAAGCTGTCAGACGAGCTTGCACTACATTCTCAATAAATCTCAATTTCTTCTCTGCTCAAAGGCCCAGTTATCAGCATATTGATGAACATACAAATCACCAAAACATCCAACAACTTAAGAAAAACATTTTTAAAAATCCTAGAACAGCTAGAGGGAAATGTATTAAACATTATGTAGTGAAATAGAATTAAAACTCTGTACACATAAGCTACATAAGAAAAAACTTTGGGGGGGGGGTAGTGGCAGATGCCTTTAATCCCAGCACTCAGGGAGACAGAGGCAGGTGGATCTCTGTGAGTTTGAGGCTAGCCTGGTTTACAGAATGCATTCCAGAGCTACACAGAGACACTGTGTCTAGAAAAACCCAAATAAATAAATAAATGAAAGAAAAGGGGAAAAAAACGTTAATGAGAGTTTAGTATGTAAAGGACTGTCTGAAAATAACTTATTGTAACAGGATACCTGAGTCCAAAGGCACACTGCCACAGCACACAGAGTTTAGCAGGGCTTCCCATCTCTCTCAGAAGTGTAAGTGTAAGTCTGGTATCTTTACAATGTTCACTAAGGCAAAGCCTGGGCTTTCACTCCCTCCCACTCTAGTGCCTCTTCCATACACTTACACTGCTCTCCAGCCACCAGTCTAGCAAGCTCTTCTCCACCCTGCTTCTGCAAGGCTTATTCTCTCAACTCCCAGTTGGATCATTTTCTCTCCTCAGTGGTGCAGACACTATCTTGCTATTTTGTATCCCCACTTCCAGCATGGACGGGTCTGCCTCTAATCGTCCTCTGCTCTTAATAGTGTCTTTTCCCCATAACACTTAACACCATCTAAACAGTAGCAGGAAAATACATACAATGTTTACTTCTTGACTTTCCCTAGACTTATGTCTAACTTTCCAGGTTTCTGTTTGACAGATACAGATATATCTCAAGGCTTAGAACAGTGTGAGGAACATAGCAGATAGCAGATAACTAATGAATGCCCAAAGCAGTCAAGGCCCTCTTTTACTTCCAGATATACAGAAGATGGGCAACAAATCCTAAACAACCCAAAACACATTTACATATTGCATTTTTAGGGCCTGCTATTTGCAGAAAATATATATTCATTTCAAAGTCCATATATTTTAAAGCCATTAAGAACAGTTATTAACAAACATTAACTACCCATTAATTTTAATTTTGCTACTTAACATATTTATTGTAATACTTATTTTCCTATTTAAGTTAATCTCAAATGCAATTTTCAACCATTTTTGGCTTGATTTAAAAAACTTATTTACATGTACCACAAATACCAGGAAATGACAGGCTGAGAGAAAATAGTTACATTTTTGTAACCATCTTACAAACCTGAACGTCAAAACCTTCTAGAGCCTCTATTTCTACTTTTGTAAAGGGGGTGGACAAGTCAGATGGTCTCTTAAGACACCACAAGTATAAAACCTTCTGGTGATTTATACAAATCAACTAGGTTACACAATCTACATATACACATTTAAAACACTCATTAGAATCATAAAATTATTACGCTCAGCAGAACTTGAGAAGTTAACAAACCCAGTCCTGCCCGATCTTATAAGGAGAAAACTCAGATGTTTGAATACTTCTTAAAATACACTTGCCTATCAGGCACGAAGTCCTGACTAGGTTTGATCCCCAGCCCGGGGTTATTTTTGGTCTCTCTGTGAGTGTGAAAGACAGGTAACTGAATTTTTTTCCTTATAGAAATATTTCAGATAGTCCCTCATTTATGTCTTTCCTAAAACTGACAATAATTCATGCTGTAGAAATTAGCTGTGGTGCACCTACCAAAAACAAAACAAAAAACTCCTAACAGCCTAACCCTGTAGTAAGAAAAAAAATATAAATTTATAATGAAATAAATTTACGGTAAGATCCTTATGGGCCCATATTGACTTTCTAAACCAAGACAGTACGAGTGACATGAAATGAGTTAAGGCATAGACAGTGCTTTAAGTTCAGGGCATCTTGTCTCAACAGTACGATTGCATGACTTATGGCTACATTCCAAAATGAGCTAATTTAATATTAACCAAAGGGACAGAAGGCTCCAAGCCCAAACCCAAAGTGAGCTCCCATCTAAACAGCATGAATTCTACATGCCCAGAGCACCGACAGGCACTGGATTCGAGGGGAATCTGATGTGGGCTGTTTAAGCGGCACACGTGCACAGCGATGGTAAGTGATCATTGGAGACCCACACTTCAGTATGTCAGCCTGCTACAAACACCTCAGTAACAGAGTGGAAACTCTTTAGAGGTTCGTGAGGGATGTCCAAGGCCCATCCAAGAAGAAACTGCAGACTCTCAGTTGGGTCTTTGAACTTAATCTCAATCCTGTACTTTACAGGGACGCCTTGTTACAAATATCAAGTTTTACGAACTTAGCACACAAGAGAAATCTTGAATCTGTGGGACCAAACCACACAATCCACACATGAGACCAAAGCAGCTTGGAGGCTGGGGCCACTTAAGTGTCACTGAGCGAAAACAACCCCCCACAACTGAAGACTGAAGCACACACTAACCTCCCCAAAGAGTCCCTTCTGCTCTCCGGAGCAAAAGGTCCCTATCACTTTTACTATTCACCCAGCACCCTGCCTGGAACTCCAACAAGGTGTGACTGTATCCTTCCAAACTGAAAAACAGTGTCCAGCAGCGCCAGGTACTTAATGACAAAGGAGTCAGCTCACTACAGCGTCTTCCAGCTTCCGTGACTTTTTCTCACCCCCAAAATAAAAACTAGGAGAGGAGCAACTTGACAAACTGTTTTTTAAGAATCACAAATGGTCCCTAACTGCTATAATAAAGCAATTACTCCTCCCACCCCAAGCAAACAGAGCAGGCGCTCGGAAGGCAGCAGG